AGTCTAGGACTTATTCCTTTTATCTTATTAATAAAAGTGATGAATCACCACTTGCCTTCCTATGTATCATATCATATACCTGGAAATCATTAAGTAAGTAGACTTTTTTCATTAATGAGAAAACCACAATTATTTAAACTTTCCCCAAACATTTTAATTAACCTTTATAGATCTTTTTTTTTTTTTGAGATATCCATCTATTTTAAAAGTACCATTGAAATACTGAGAGTTTAACATGAAATTCACATTCAAGATTTAAGTGATTTCACTACTTGTTCAAACACTAAATGTTACTGAAATAAAGAGCAATACTATTATCTAGAAGTCAATTGTTTAAAACCATGTTCTAGTTTTAGGGGTAACAGATCTTGGATAATTTACATTCTAGAGACAAACAGACAACAAACCAGTAATCAAATAAAGTAACGAGTTAAATGCTACAGGAAAAACAAAAAACAACTCTCCCCAAAAACAACAACAACAATAACAAAACCCAACAGTACAGCTAGGAAGGCCATTAATGAGAAGGCAGCGCCTGGTTTAAAACCTTTATGAAAGAATAGCCCTGTGAAGATAAATGTCCAAGCAATCTTTAACTAAAGAAGGTTTAATGAGTTATTCTGCTATATATTTATATGCAACCCTCTGAATTACATAACCTTATGCTGCACCCTACTGAATCTTCTTAGTCTTATTTTAAGGAGTAATTCTTTAAAAACAAAATTTCATTACCTCCTTTGTTGTATCCCTAAATTTAAAAAGCATGGTTTCTAATTTAAAAAGTGTTTCCTAGTAATATTAGTTAATATCTGGCTGAGGTACTTCTGTCAAATAAAAATAATGGCTAACAGAGTTATAATTGCAAAAAAATATTATCCTGCTTAATGTTCTCGGACACAATTGTTTCTAGGATACTTCATGGGCCAAACAGGCTGGAAAGAAATTGCCCCAGTGTGAACCACTCAGAAGAGAGGCCAAGGGCAGGAAGCAGCACTAATGGGTCAGTGGAACACTGTACAGTGAAACCGCTCAGTAGAGAAGACAATACAGGTCATGCCTGGGGAGGGAGGGTGCAGGAGGAGAAGGGGGATGAAGCAAATCAACTGGCATGGTTGGGAAACCTACCCCAGAACAGTAGTAGCTCTTTGAGACATGCTGTTACCACCTAAGCAATAGGTTAAGTTTGAAGTACAGAGGCATTTTAGCTATTAATAATTATAAAATAAAAAACCATATTTTATAATAAGCATTTTTGTCAAGTTTTTGAGTATCACAAATGAGAAGAGATTTTTGTCAAGATGTATTTGTTTAGAATGCTGTTCTACTTTTAAGTCTGGTTATTTATCTGTAAAGTAGATGTAAAAACACAATCTTAAAGGGTGTTTAGTCTCAGGAACAATGATAATGAGAGGCAGCTAGCTCAGCACCTGGAATAAAGAAAGCACTCAATAAACTGCTTTAAAAAATTATTCTTCAGTATGTTCTTTCAAACATACTAAAGCCAGATTCTTTTTTATTTTTATTGGCTATTCTAGAATTTGAACTCAGGGTGTCTCATTTGCAACACTACCACTTAAACACACCTGCAGCCAAGAAATCAGATTTCTTAAAGGCATATAATTTTAAGAAATGTTTCAGTGGAAGAAAAAAATCCTCATAAAATTTAGGGAGAAACCAAGTCCATAAAAAGTACATATATATAGTAAAGCTACTGTAGGAAAAGAAGCACATGTGCAAGTGAGCTTTCTGTGTTTCAGTGACGAGGAAATAATTAGTCTTGTTTTGGTGGTTCATGCCTTTAATACTAGTTACTTGGAAGGCTGAAGTTAGGACTGAAGTTCCAGGCTAGCCTGGGGAAAAATGTTCACAAGACTTTACCAGAAAAACTGGGGCGTAAAAAGAAAAAGTGGGGTATGGTGATTCAAGCTTGTAATCCCAGCTAAGATGGGATGTATAAACAGGAGGATTGCAGCCCAGGCCAGCCAGGATAACAAAGGAAGATCCTATCTTAAAATAACCAGAGCAAAAAAGGGATGGAGGTATAGCTTAAGCAGCAGAGCACCTCCTAGCAAACGTGAAACTCTAAATTAAAACCCTCATACTGTCAAAGGGGGGAGGGGAAGAGAGAATAATTAGCCTAGTCTAATAGAATCATATGCAGGCTTCCTGGTTTACAATTATTTTGGGAAGGGGACTTTAAAATGTTTATATGTAATACTGGAAATGCCTCAGGAGAAAAAAAAAGCACCACAAAAACTTTAGATTTTTAAGACTCCATTTATAAAACATAATTGTATGAAGTACACTAATGCAGATCCAGCTGGTGATAGGGTAAACATTACATGGAATTTATCAAAAAGCAGATCTACTCAATGGTGTAAGATTTAATTTGATTAAAACTATATTAATAAGTCTTTGTTGTTGTTCTTAATGTACTATGTGATTTTTTTGTTTCCTTTGTATGTTCTTCCCCCTATGGTATATCCCGTTGTTACTGCACTTAGTTTTGGTACCCTGTGTCTTGTATATACATTTGTCTCATTTGGGGATGGGAAAGGGGAATAACAACATGCTGAAACAAGGAAACAGGATGACCCACTGCAACAATGATATCTCTAGATAGTGTATTGGAAATGAACTTTACAACTTGGGGGGGGGTGAGGGAAGTGGAGGAGGGAAGGGATAGTGGGAGAACAAGGGAAGAGGTAACAATGCTCAAGAAATGTACTCATTACCTTACTCGTGTTAACTGTAACCCCTCTGTACAGCATCTTTACTATAAAAAAAGATATATGAAAGAATGGTATTCTAAAAGACATAAATATAGTGTTAAGAATCTTTTCAAATAGATGCTTTTAGAAAACCAACAGATACTTTTATTAAATATTTTAAAAATATTTATTATTAAACATGTGTATTATTATCTGTTTATGAAGCTTAAGTCAGAAAAAAATGGTCAAGTACAGTCCAATTTACAGGTTTTAAAGCTGGAAGGGTGTCAGAGATTATCTGGGACACTTTCTACATTTAGAAGAGGGAACAGACTCAGAGTGCTCCGTCAGAGTACTGTACAGAGATCAGTACTGAGCCCAAGCTAAGTCTCTTCAAACTACGTTAAGTAGTTCACAGTATGGGAGCCCAATCTTACCATCACGGAATGAGGTCCACTGTGGCAAACCCCTATGCGCGCCTGCCTGGTAAACTAGAACCCAATTCGGTAAAATTAGGTTGTAAGATCATAACCAAAGAGCTACAGAGCCTTCTTGGGTATAGTCCTTTTTCTCCTCCAGACACCATTTACCTGTAACCATGGGTAGCAGAACCTCTTACTGCGAGGCAATACTGAGAAAACTGTCTACCCACGATTAAAATTAAACACCCACATATTAGCCTCTGTGATGAAAAGACTGAAATAATAAATCCTCTCTTCCATTTGGATTCAATACTTGGGTAAATTTTAAGAAATCAGGGTTAGTAAAAATTTCAGTGACACAATGCAGCTGAATTTGCTTGTTCTGGCTACCTCAGGTACATACTAGACCAAAATCATCATCCAGGCTTTCAAACAAAGATGAGTAAGAAAACAAATGCTGGTAATATAACATACAAACATTAACATACACCAACAGAGCAGTACTTTATTTAGATCGTTAGATTATCTGCCAAAAGCCTGTTCCTTGGTAAATAATAGTTACTGTTGTTATATCTAAACTAGTTAGACATGTCTCAGCTTGCTCCTTAAGGAGAACATTCTACAGTCTCTCAAGAATAAAAACTTGCTTTATTTGGCACACAACGGTTAGGAGCTCTAGCAACATGAGCCAGAGGGAGTCACACAGCAAGAAGTCAGCACAGGCAATCGCGCGCGCACACACACAAGTGTGAGCCCCAAACCAGCGCTAAGCTTTCAGTTCCTGTGGACCAGAAGGCATCATTAATTCACTTTCTGCTTGCCGACTTCTGCATCTCTTCTTAGGTGTATTCCAAGCACACGAACCTCTGTGGGAACTGTGTGCCATGGCCGTTTATTTAAGTTTACACGGAGCAAATACCATCAAGACAAACCATAGTAACCCAAGCCTCGTTCCCACAGCCTGGCAGTTCCCTACCAGGCGCACGGAGGCCCTGCCCAGCCCGCTGCGCCGGGCCTCGGGTGAGGAGGGACCCGGGGGTCCCCGCCTTGGGCAGCTAACGGGGAACCTTCTCGCCGCTCCCCGGCCTGAGCTTCCCGCGGCCCCGAGCACCCCACACCGGGCCGCCGCAGCGAGGCCGCCCCACGCCTCGCCACCCATGCTTTCGGTCCGAGACCACTGGCGGGCTGGGCCCTGCAGCGAAACCCGCCGCCCGCGGCCTCACCTGCGCCCCCAGGGCCTCCGCTCCGCCCCGCGCCCGCCACCCTCGCAGCTGGAGTCCCGGGACTACGACTGAGGCGCAGCCGGAAGTGGGTTCTCCGACTTCCTCACAGCCGACGCGATTCCCCGCCCCGTCCCGAGCCTGCCGGTGGGCGGGCCATAGAAGGAGGCGGGGCCTGGTGGCGGGCGGGGCGGAGGGTGCGGCTTCCGCCTGGCTGCTTCCGGCCTAGTGGTGAGTTGGGAGTGGGAGTCCCGGCCCCTGGCCCCGGGAATGTGTGGAGGGTTGGGGGCGGTTGCGATCGCGGGGTCCTCGTGCCCAGCGCTGACGGCCGGGGAGCGGGCTGCGAGGTGTGTTGGGGCTGGCCCGGTTTCCCCGGGGCTCTCGGCTCTGTGAGCCCTGTCCAGCCACAGCCCGCGGCAGGGCGAGGGCCTGCGCCTCCTCCGCCGGGGCGCGGGGCGCGGGGCGCTCGTGGCTCCCCGCGGCGAGCGGGGCGCTCGTCCGGAAGGAGGAAGACGATCGCGGCTGCGGCCCGGGAGACTCGCCCCGGCGGCCCGACTGCTGCTGTGGGAGGCGCGGCGGGACGGGCGGCCCGCCCGGCGGCGGGGGCCGCCGGCGGCCTTGGTGCTGGAGGCGGACAACGCCGGGAAGCCGGGCCTTCTCCTCCGCTCCGCCCGTTGGCTTCCCCCGGAAACCTGCCCCGTTCCTGGCCGGGCTGGAGAGGGGCGGTCTTCCGAGAACCTGGCTGTGATCGTGTCCTGAAGCAAGGTTGGGATCTCTAACAGCTTAGGCATTTTATTTTGTCTCCGGTTGAAAGTAGAGACGTGGTTTGTGTTGAACACGAGAGGAGACCGTGTAAACGACTAGCTAGAACGTGGCTGTTTTCCAGATGTGTAACGCGCGTGGGGGGCGTTTTGTGATTTGTTTAGGTTATCTTGTGCTTTTCTCTAAAGACACTCATTGTACCCTAGACAATAAAAACCTTTCAGGAATAAGGCAAGGTGTTTACTTTGCTGCGGTGTACCTAATCGAGTGAATGGAAACTCTTTTAGTGTAAAAAGTTCAGGCTGAATGGATAGGATGCCCTTTACATCTGCGAGTCAGCTTGACTTTTTTATAAGTCAGTGAACGTCATACTTTTATTATTGAAATAATAGTTATTTCTACTGACTAGGATCCTGGCTCGCGACACCCCCACCCCTAGTACCGGGCTTTGAACTGGTCATACAGGTGCACTGTCACCTGAGTCACACCCTTACCACCCTTCCCCCCCAACCCCTTTGCTTTATTTTTCAGATAGGCTCTTGCATTTTTGCCTGGAGCTATCTCCTGACCAAGATCCTGCCAGTACTTGAGATTTATTCTGTACTCCCTGCTTGGTTTGTTGAGATGGGGGGGGGGGGGTTCCTCAAATTCTGCCAGTGATCCTTCTGATACCTGCCTCAGGAGTAGCTGGGATTAGAGGCATTTACTACCACCTCACCCAACTTTCGGTAGGATTTTCTTACTGGACATTTGCAATTGCAGTAAGCTCAAATTAGGAAAGTAGGTATTATATTTATAATTGACAGGCAATTTTACATGTCTTTAATATGTTCCATAGAGTTTAGAAACTTTCCATTTAAAATTTTACATTTGTCCTGAAAGTTGTGACTTAAGTGTTTTTTTCTTTTATCCATATCAACTCAACCATTGTGTAGAAATTTAAACCGCTCAGAAGTGTATGATAGAACAAAAGAAGACGACAACCAGGGGTCATCTGAAATTGTGATTGGCTCACTGATAATCCCAGGACAAAATTAGAGACTACTACTCAAACATAAGGTAGATGACTTTTTAAATCCCAACTGAAATCTTAAGTGGAGGGACACACACTCATTCCCTGTACAGGTATTCTAATTCTAATTAAGCCTCTGATTGAGTAAGGGTGGACCCAAATATGAAAGGTATGAAAGCTTGGGGGAGGTAGGAGGACAGGAAATGTAGCTCAAGTCTTTGCTATCCTCATTTCCAGGTCCTTTCTCTTACCAACTAATGTATGGTCCTACTTATAGCTACTTTTCTCACTAAATTGTACTTATGGTATTGGGGCTTTAAGGCTGAAAGGACATAAAATAGCACGTCCCTTTTTGCTTATACCTATTGACATATGGATATGACTATGATCACAGCTCCCTTACTTCCTCTTTTCCGTTGCTGGAAATAGCTATCACCTCTTTTCCTCTCATGACTTGTGGCTTGTCCTTTTCAAATGTGAACGTTGTTTATACCCTTGTTAACTAGTATTTAATGGTACTAAGAGTATGTCAAGAAATGACACAGGATTCAGCTCTTTCCTGAAATGAGTGTATGAAACTCAAAAAGCCTGCTGCCATATAAACTATGTCTTAAACATAGGAAACATAGTCCTATCACCTAGGCCAAATAGTTTTCAGTTTTTCTGTAAACTTACATCTTTATGTGTCATTTTGGTTGTCTTAGCTGAATTATTTTTTCCTAACAGGAGATACTCATTTTTATTAAAATTGTACTAATTAATACTTCAAAAGAACTCTTTTAAGTAACCATTGTAATTTTGAGCTATCTGGTTGTATGATAAAACATTTTCAAATTTTGATTAATCATGTATTCTTTTTGTTGTTCCTTTGCCCCAGTTTCCTAGGACTGCTACGAAGATGTTTGATGTAAAGGCTTGGGCTGAGTATGTTGTGGAATGGGCTGCAAAGGACCCTTATGGTTTTCTTACAACAGTTATTTTGGCTCTCACCCCACTGTTCCTAGCAAGTGCTGTTCTATCCTGGAAATTGGCCAAAATGATTGAAGCCAGAGAGAAGGAGCAAAAGAAGAAACAAAAACGACAAGAAAATATTGCAAAAGCTAAAAGACTAAAAAAGGATTGAAGGAGTAAACAAGCTCTGCATCTAGAGCAGAATCATTGGGAACATTATGCAGCTTTGGACTCATTAAGTGTTTGGATTTCATCATAGGATCAATAGTAAATTAAATCTGAGTATATAAAAGAATCATGTTCTGACCTCAGTATTACAGTAATGTTTAGTTTTGTGTGTGAAAGTTTGTTGGTATCTATTGACATGATAAGTGCATTGTATTTATCTGAAAATCAAAAATCATAAATGTTCCAAAATCTGAAATTTCTTGTGTGCAGACATGATTCACAAGTGAAAATTCCATACACGACCTTGTAACAGGTTGTATTCAGTTAGGCTATATGAAATGGAAATGAATTTTTTGTTGAACTAAAACACTTCTGGTTCCAAGCATTTCGGAAAAGGAATTCTCAACACGCAGTACAGATTCTTTATCAGTGACTTATTGATTTGCCATTTTGCAGATGATGTACAGAAGTGAAACATCCTGTGGAGAATAATGACTTTACGTATGCACTCCATTTAAATAGTGGTTTAAGATGGGCCTTCTTCTGGACCAAGAATGCTAGGAATGTACAAGTCAAAATTGCTCTGTTGGTAGAAAGTTTGTTTTGGCTTCAAGACATACAATATATTTATTAATCATATATTTTTTATCATTATTGCTAACGAATGGAGTTATGTCTGGTTTTTTCAGAGCAAAATGGTATTAATCAAGAACATTTATTTTTCTGCATTTTTCTGATGTTAGTCTTTGAGACAAGTAATTATGAAGACATTATGTGTTTTTCAACCTAATTTTATAAAGATTTATTATCTTGACTGTAAAATATCTACTGGATGTAACAATTTTGTATTTTTGATCACTGCCACTTTCTTAGATGAGTTGTTGAGTAACATTGTGTTTTAAAGCTTGTACTAAAATGCCAAATGCTAAAACCTTAGAATCAGTTTTTGTGGTTTTTTTTTTAATGCTAACTAGAGCTGTGAAAAAGTTAAAATGTCATCAGATAATCTGCTAGTTTTCATATAGCACTCTTGATTTTATTTAACACTTTTTGACTCATGTATTGATGACATAAATTTCAACATGTTTGTGATCAAGTTTGTGGAAACTAAAAATTCTGATTATTTTGAAGAGTTCCCAAGGAGTTAAGTCATATTTCCTAAGTGGTTCAGAAAGGCTTAAAATTGAGAAAAATTTTGATGGACACAGTAGTGATTGTATGAACTAGATAAATGAGAATGAGCTATAATTAGAATACAGAGCTAAAGGTCTTTCAGTTAAGCAGTAATACTAGAACTTTTGTCTATTAAACATGGCTTTTCTAAATGCATGCTCCAGTAATTTTACTAACTGCAATATTTAATAGCTTATATTGTTTTCTTCGCCTCTGATAAAGAGTAATTGTCCAAAGCTCTTACTTAAAAATGAAGTTAATTATTGAAATAAAATTTGATATGTTTTATAAAGAGGTCCTGGATTTTGTCCCTTTTTATGGGGGAAGTGGAGGGTAATAAATTAGACATGTTGAACAGGCTAGATTTTTTAAAGGTAACGAATTTCTATTATAGCTAAGCATACTTTTAAGATTAGGACAGTTTCACAAATTTGAGAAACTAAGAATTGATAAGGTTTATTTGAAAATACTGAATGCTATTTTTTAGGTTATCAGTTCTTGCTGTTTGTTTAATCAACCCATTGAAACTAGGTACTGAAAATAATTCGGTGTATAGATTGTTCTGGTTTGTGTTATGCATGTTATATTTAGCATTGAAATTATTGAGCCATTGGTCCCATGAGTCTGCAGAGCTTCTAATCCTCTGCCCTGCTCCTCCCTGCCCAACCCTTGCTCTCCATCTGCATGTCTGTTCTTTGAAACAAGCCAGCTTCGGTGTCCAGATCTTCCCTTCTCTGTCTCCTAAAACTAGGATTATAGGCATGCACACCACCATCCCTATCTGGCAGAGCACATTTTAAAAGAGAAACTAAGTTAAGATATCTCATATATGTTTGGGTGTCTGTAGACGTTATTCATAGAAATAATTGATGTGTGCTTTAAAAAAAAAAAAAATCAAGGGCTGGGAAGGTGGCTCAGTGGTAGAGCGCTTGTCTAGCAAGCACAAGGCCCTGAGTTCAACCCCCAGTGCTGCCAAATGGAAAAAAAAAAATCACATTTGTAGAAAAAGTGAAAGTACTGAACCAGAGGATATAGTTTGTTGTTGTCAGTCCTGTGGCTTGAATTTGGGGCCTGAGAAGCTGTCCCTGAGCTCTTTTGCTCATGGCTAGTGCTCTACCACTTTGAGCCACAGCCCCACTTCTGGTTTTCTGGTGGTTAATTGGAGATAAAATCTCACATACTTTCCTGACTGGGCTGTCTTTGAACTGCAATCATTAGATCTCAGCCTCCTGAGTAGCTAGGATTACAGGCATGAGCCATTGGTGCTGGGCTAGGATATAGTTTCAGTTCTGTGGTTTCACAGGTTCTGTTGTGACAAGTTAAAAGTACTTATTTAACACGTTTTTTTCCCCTGGCAGTACTGGGGTTTGAACTCTAGGATTTGCACTTGCTAGGCAGGCAAATCCTACCACTTAAGCCATACTTTTAGTTGTTTATCAGGTATGATCTTGCATTTTTTGCTCTGGTCCAGCCTTGTACCAGTCATACCTACACCTCCCTCCCATACAGCTGGGATTACAGGTGTGAAACACCATATCCAGATAATTGGTTAAAATCAGATACTCTGTCTATCTCCATCTCTTGAGTAGCTTAGAATACAGGTGGAAGTCACTGTTTGGATCTTTAAAGTGTTTTTCTACAATTTCATAGTCTTAATGTAGTTTCTCTTTGCTTAACGAACTAATGTTCTTAGACTTTTCCTGAAAAACATTTATATAGCCTTTTCATTCTTGTGCAAGCAGCAAGATTTTGGATTTGTGTATATATACAGGGAATAAATAAAATAGAGAATATTGAGGTTGGGGATTCTCTTCTCTCATTGTAAAAAATAGTACTATTGTTGAAAGAATTATCATCCAGAATATTACTTTAAAAAATGTCTGTCTGCTGGGTGCCCGTGGCTCAAACCTGTAATCCTAGCTACTCAGGAGGCTGAGATCTGAGGATTGTGATTCAAAGCCAGCCAGACAGGAAAGTCTGTGAGACTTTTATCTCCAAATAACCACCAGAAACTGGAAATGGCGCTATGGCTCAAGTGCTTGCCTTGAGTTGAAGAGCTGAGCGACAGTGTCCAGGCTGAGTTCAGATCCACAACCAACCAAAAAAAAAAAAGCCTGTCTAATTCTAAAATTCTGAAAACTAATATGTACCCTTTTTATTGCTAGTTTGTTTTATTTGGGGGGGGGGGAGGAAATAAGCAATCCCCAGGCTTCCTGTAACAAACATTGGTTGGTATATTAGAATCTTGAGCCATAGTGTTATGTAATGTTTCCAGCATCTAACATATTAGGTTTAAAAAATTATAACAAAGGATGTCCAAAAAGAAATGTTCTTTACAGTAAGGAAACTAGAAATGAACTTTAAATGCTGTGACTTGGAAGCCCAATATTGATATAATTTTAAAAAGTGCCCCACCCCTTCTTCTTCATTACAAGGTATAGGAAAGTGACAAGGGGTACTTAACATTTTATGTTTTTGGTTTTTTTTTGGGTCCGGTCATGGGGCCTGAACTCTAGACCTGGGCGCTATCCCTCAGCAAGCACTCTACCAATTGAGCCACAGCGCCACTTCCAGCTTTTTTTTTTTTTTTTTTTGCTTATGTGGTGCTGAGGAATCGAACCCAGGGCCTCATGCATGCAAGGCAAGTGCTCTACCACTGAGCCACCTTCCCAGCCCCCTGTTTCTAAATGAGAGGAAATTTGATTCTACTTAGGAATGATTGTGTTTATGTTTGCATCTGGTTATAGGATCAGTCTGATTGATTTCATTTTGAAATAAATATGTAAGGACAGTTCTGCATTTCTCAAACCTATTAAAAGAGGTTCTACCATCAGATAACAAAAGCTTTGGAAACACAAGTAGAATTTGGACAAATCCTTTACTATATGATGTAAATCTTTTAAAATGACTCTCCTTCATGCTTTTATCCCCAGAGAACATAACAGTTTGAAAAAGGACAGTCTGAATAAGGTGGTTTTAAATAATGTGGTTAATGAGAGAGCATTATGAACATCAGTGCTGGGATGGGTGCTGGTGGCTCACTCCTGTAATCTTAGCTACTCAGGAAACAGATCTGAGCATCTCAGTTCAAATCCAGCAGGAAAGTCCATGAAAATATCTCCAATTAACCACCAGAAAGTGGAGCTGTGGTTCAACTAGCCTTGAGCATAAAAGCTCAGAGACAGCACCCAGGCCCTGAGTTCAAACCCCAGGACTAGCACATATACACACAGACAGAAATAGTGCAAGCCTAATTAAGAAATGAATAGCAGCTAGAAAATCTAGGCAACTGTAATAATGGAAAAGGATTATTTCCCCCAGTTTTGTTGTTTCTTAACTTCAAATATCTAAGGCACAGCTGGGTTATATGATTAATCCCTGGAACCAGAAACAGTCTTTGCACTTGATTAGTTTGTGTAATATTAAGCCTCTTGTAAAACCAAAAGTATGCTATATGTATCTCTTACAGAGCCATAGGAAGCCACAAAGGATTAGTTCTAAGTATGTACTTAGATATATATGATATTCTTCTGTTATGTCAACAAGAACAGTTTTACTTTGAGATGAAAAAGTTTTAAATAAGTTTGTCTTTTCTTGAAAAGATAGTTTAAAGATGGTTTTATAATAAATTTTGAAATATGAAAAATATAGCGATTTTTAAGATGAAGAATAGGGAAAGTTAGTATTTCAATATTCAAAATCTGCTCTGTTGGTATCTGCTCTCAAAGTTACAATTTAAAGTTGTTTGGAAGGACAAATCGTATTAGGCCAAAATTATACTTGATCTTTTTTTTTCAGACTATGAAAATTTATTACGATTGTGTTTGTATCATTAAAATTTATGATTTTGGTCTTTCCTTCTTGCCTTTGTATAGAGCCAAAAGAGACACATTGGCTACTTTAACGACCTTAAAGCGGACTCCAGGAATGTCACCCACAGCATGACCTTTTCGGCCAAATCCAGCAACCAGAACTTCATCAAAATCTTCAATAAAATTCAAGCAACCATCATTGGGTACAAAAGCTGTGATTTTCTTGCCATTCTTGATAGCTGCACCCTGACACACTTTCTGATAGCAGAATTTGGCTGCTTGGCTTCAACTCCTACTTTCTCCAGCACAATTCCCTTTGCATGGGAGGCGCCCCCAAACGGGTTGGCTTTCAGGGCTGTCCCAAATGGGCTTTCTTGTACTGTTTATCATGCCACTTCTGGTCACGTCGGTGACTACGGAGCTTCCGGGCAGTACGAACACCGCCACACTTGCCCATCCTGCCGGCGCCACGGGCCTGAGCGAAAATACTTGATCTTTTTTTTATTTTTTTGGGTCCGGTCGTGGGCCTGAACTCTGGGCCTGGGCGCTGTCCCTCAGCTCTTCAGCTCAAGGATAGCGCTCTACCACTTGAGCCACAGCGCCACTTCCAGCTTTTTTCTTTTTGCTTATGTGGTGCTGGGGAATCGAACCCAGGGCCTCAGGCATGCAAGGCAAGCGCTCTACCACTGAGCCACCTTCCCAGCCCTTGATCTTTTTTATGAGGGACATATTTAAATCTGCTCAAACATCACCTAAAAGTGTACCCAGTGACTTAGGTTCTAGGTGAGAAGAATGGGTGGATCATAAATTTATATTCTCAAAGTCACCTGTATAATGCGTGCTTTACTAATACTGAGCCAGTATTACCCTCCTACTTGAACATAAGGCATTTCCCCACAAAGGTTCTTGCTTAAAATTTTCCTTTGCTACATTATGTAAAGCAGCTATTTTTAAATGAAAACTAAAAATTAAAATTAATGTAAATTCTGCCATATGGTAAGATATTTGAAAACAGACTACATGACAAACATTTTCAAAAGATGTATATAGAATGCAATTAATAAGCTGATAGAAATTTAGCAGTAGCAATGCACTAATGCATCAAAACATACATAATCTTCCTTGCAGTCTAAGATTTAAGAATATCTTAAGCTGGGTGCTGGTGGCTCATGCCTGTAATCTTAGCTATGCAGGAGGCTGAGATCTGAGGATTGTGGTTCAAAGCCAGCCCCGGCAAGAAAGTCCATGAAACACTTATCTCCAATTAACCACCAGAAAACCAGAAGTGGTACTGTGGCTCACATGGTAGAGCACTGGCCTTGAGCTGACGAGCTGAGGGACAGCGTCCAGGCCCAGAGTTCAAGCCCCATGACCAACAACAACCAAAAAAACAAACAAAAACAAAAAGAATATCTTAACCTCAAATCATAAACCAATACTACAAATTATACTTCCTTTTATATTATCTAGTGGCTAGTTCTTAGTTTGCCTCTATGATAAAATGTGCTATTGCTTTGTAATGATATAACAATAGCAAACAATGTTTGCTATTAAGAGAGTTGGAACACTGGAATTATTTAGGGTACTTTTTGTCATCAGTATTTTAGACTCATTGTCATTTGATTGATTAATTTAAATAGTTATATTTTTCTGTAGTGTATTTCTTAGACAATTACAACTTTTACTTGCTTGTAAGTAAAAATTTTAATATAGCCAAGTGCTGTTAATTCATGCCTGTAATTCTAGCTACTCAGGAAGCTGAGATCTGAGGATTGTGGTTCAAATCCAACCCAGGCAGGAATGGCTGTGAGACTGTTATCTCCACTTACATACCAGAAAACAAAGTGGTACTGTGGCTCAAAGTGGTAGAGTGTTAGCTTTGAGCAAAAAAGCTCAGGGACAGTGCCCAGGCCCTGTGTTCAATTCTTACAACTGGCCTAAAAAAACAGAAAATTAATGTATGTGTGAATTAGGAGCCAAGGATTTATTTACATTGTTTAGAACACAAAAATTTGGTTAATTAATTTAATCTTTAATGTTTATTGAGTATTTATTATATGCTAAACACTGAAAAATCTCTACAGTAAAATAACAAAACCTGAAACTTGCACCTGGATCTCAGACTAGTTAGGATTATAGACATGGGCCACCAGTTCCAGGTTAAAAGTAAATTATTATTATTATTTTTTTTGGGGGGTCCAGTCCTGGGGCCTGAACTCTGGGCCTGGGCACTGTCCCTCAGCTCTTCAGCTCAAGGCTAGCGCTCTACCACTTGAGCCACAGCGCTACTTCCGGCTTTTTTCTTTTTGCTTATGTGGGGCTGAGGAATCGAACCCAGGGCCTCAGGCATGCAAGGCAAGCACTCTACCACTGAGCCACCTTCCCAGCCCCTAAAAAAAAGTAAATTATTTTTTGTACAGTTTTATTATAAAAATGCTGTACAGAGGGGTTACAGTTACATGAGCAAGGTAATAAGTACATTTCCTATTGAGCATCGTTGCCTCCTCCTTTGTTTTCCCCCTCCCATCCCTTCCCTCCCATCTCAACTACACTCTGCCTAAATTGTAAAGTTCATTTTTTCAACACAGTGTCTTGTACATCTCATTGTTACAATGGGTCAATCTGTATCCCTAGATAAGCATTTTGTTTTTTCCCTTCCCCTCCCTGAATTAGATAAGTGTATATACAAGATGCAGGGCACCCACATCAAATACAGTAAAAATAGGGGTTATACCTTGGGGGAGGAACATACAAAAAAAAATCACACAGCACATTATAAATATGTTAGAAAGAAAAAAGATATTTATGCTCCTATCTTGGGGTTCATCTTGCTTAACATCATCTTATATGGTCATATGTACATGATTTATCCACATTTTTCTTCAACGTCAAGCCACTGAATCTCAATTATAAGTGGAATTTCATTTTGTTTAGAGAACTCCCCTGTTTTCTTCTTTTCAGAATTTCTTTCTCATGAATTCCAATTACCATCCCATTTCTCTCTCTGCTGTCCTTTCAGGTTTTCCTGATTGATTTTTCTCCTGTTTGATTTCTGTCTCATCTTTGCATTAAGGTCTCTATGGTTTCTTTCATATTATCTAATTTTGTTGGTCATGGGGGTTGAACTTTGGGCTTGGGCTCTGTCCTTGTGCTCTTCAGCTCAAGGCTAGTGCTCTACCACTTAAGCCACAGCGCCACTTCCAGTTTTCTGGTGGTTAACTGGAGATAAGAGTTTCAGGGCTTTTCCTGCACAGGCTGGCTTTGAACTGTGATCCTCAGTTCTCAGCCTCTTGAGTAACTAGGATTATAGGCATGAGCCACTAGCACCTGGCTTAAATTTTATGTTTACATAATTTGTCTATGTTCATGCTTTAGTCCTTTGGAATCTTACAGGACACCACTTCACCTGGAGGAGAGCCCACTGTTTACCTTATTCTTCTAAGATGTATCTGTGAGTGATTCCTGTTACGCCTTCACAGGTACAGGACACACGTCAAATTAGTGATCAAAGTAGAAACAATTGTAAGCAAATTCATAAACATAAAGATGACTAAGTCCTGGATAGGATTCAAGTCTAAAAGCATCTAGGCGATGTTAAAAGTGAACGCTTAAGCTAAATGGAATACACAAGTGCATATCAGAAAATACAAAGTAATCAAGTTTTCACTACTTTTATTTGTTAAACAGTCATATCCACAAAGTGAGTTTTCCATAGTACATTCATTGGGTGTGTCCCTTGTCATTTTGTGGCATCCAGGATCCTGGCTGGAAGGTTTTACCAGTGCTGGTGGGAGCCTCTGAGGGTTCTTCCTTTCCAAAGTGTGGAGCAGAGGCATGCCCCTTAATCTCAGTTTGCATAGGTGGAGGCAAGAGCTCTTCCTTCGTCTCTTTACTGAGCAGTTTTTCTTTCTCATAAAAATCTTGGCTTTTTCTTTTCATTTCTTCTCTATATTTTTCATTCTTTAGTATTTCCTGCACACAGTTACAAGTGGAATAAATTAAAATTCTAGTCAAACACCAGAAAGAAAGGATTTTTATAACAAAACAAAAATATAACAAAAATATAAAAATCAAATTTGCTTTGTATTTGAATGTATACAATAGAAGTTTGAAAAGACTATATGATTATTTATCAGTATTAAAAAGTCCATAATTTTATGTTAGAAAGATGATGGAAGGCCACAGAATAGAAATATTTATTTACCCAAGGAGTGAAACAATTTAGCATGAAATAGTACACAAAAGTATTTTAAGACACTCTATGAAAGATTTTCTAGGTTTAACTATATCTGGCCATATAGTGCATCATTAGTGGCTATTTTCCTACTGCAGGGGAGAAGCTGTGATAATCTTAGAAAGATACTCCTACCTGCCATACTTTCACTGTGGGGATTAAAGCATGAATGCCAAGGCTGATTCAAGCCCCACTTATTTCCCTCTCTCTAGGTGGTTCTGGTGAAGACAAGAAGGCAGAGCTCAGTATGTTGCAGACACTAGCTCCAGGGAGTTTGCTATGGAAATGCTTCCTCAAATCAGTACAAACCATTTGTTCAGTGAAGGTGTTTCTCAGATTTGCTATTCTGACTAGAACCATCTAAACTAAAAATTACAATTAATCTATTTTTATTGCTGTGCTTCATTGAATATAAGACTGCCACTTGTGCATCATTATTAGATGAACCACTAAAAGGTTCTGGGGTAAGATGGCAGAATAGAAGTATATGCTTCATGGGACTCTGAGTGGCAAGAATCAGGAGGAACTCAACTCCATAAATATGAATCCTGGAGATAACAGACTAGCAGTCCTAGCCACAGTTCTTACAAGCTTTAAATCCAGTATGGAGATTTGTCTGAACATGACTCCTGCACACTAGGCTAGTTTTAGAAAAGAAATCCTTACATCACAAATCACCTCTCAGTGCTAAAACCAGAAGCCATCTTGAAAAGGAATCTATCATTGGAGACTAAACTATTCTGGGGATCAGAAAACATGCAACAATAAAAATTCAGGCCCTCTGGAAGAGACACACTGCTGCACTAAATAGGGGAAGAGCCACAAAAGATAGTTGTGGAGAAGGAGAGGGTTAGCATTGAGCCTAAGAGGTTTGAGAAAACTGGAGGGCAATGTGGTTGTTGGGCAAACCAGTTTTATGTGGATTAATACTGGGTCCAGGTCTGACAGTGTGAGACTGAGGCTGATAGACATGGACATACCTCCTTTCTATGCTGAGTATAGAACTCAGTCATCTGATCGCTTCACTGGCTCTCTGGGGGTGTCAAGGGATAGTCCATGGCTTAGACATCTGCCATGCTACTGAGTGTACAAATTAAGTTCTTCTTGAACGAGTGGGTAGCTACCTTACTCACATACTGCTGAAGATCATTAAGGCTAATGGTGACACTAGGTACACATTAAAAGAAATCAAAAGAATAAAAAACAAATCCCCTGAACTTGCCAAATACATATTACCTCACCATAGGCCCTACCATAATCCTTAACTACTCTGGCCTACCAGAAAATTCCAGGCAGGACTCAGCCTACTTTTACCACCTACTTTTCAGTAGAAGCTTAGAGTGACAACAGGCCTCAGCTTTGACACACTATCCTTGGCACACATGGTAGATTCCAGTATTGTAAGACCTGCAAAGAAGCTTCTATAATTCTAACACCTTATTAAGAAGAAATTTTTGACTTAGTCTTCTCTTCTTTTATTTCATCTAATTTTATTTCTATTTTCTAATCAGATTTTCATCTAACTCTTCTTCCTCCTCATTCATTTTTCTTTCCTTTTTTACTGATGATTCTTTCTTTTTAATTTTTGTTATAATTCATTTTAACATTTATTAATTTTAACCTTTATCCTATATTACTTTTACCTCTTTCTTTTCTATGGTTATTGGTGGAACAGTTGTGTTTAAGTGTTTTTACTGTGATAATATATTAGTTTCTTCCCTATGTAGTTGTTAGTGTAGTTTGTTTTCTCCTTTCTGAAAGATAGTAGAGACAGAGCTCTTAAGAGTAAGCTGCTGGGGCTGGGAAGGTGGCTCAGTGGTAGAGCGCCTGCTTTGCATGCCTGAGGCCCTGGGTTTGATTCCTCAGCACCACATAAGCAAAAAGAAAAAAGCCAGAAGTGGCGCTGTGGCTCAAGTGGTAGAGCACTAGCCTTGAGCTGAAGAACTGAGGGACAACGCCTAGGCCCAGAGTTCAGGCCCCACAACCGGACCAAAAAAAAAAAGAGTAAGCTGCTAACGGCTGGGAAGGTGGCTCAGTGGTAGAATGCTTGCCTTGCAATGCATGAGGCCCTCGGTTCGATTCCTCAGAACCACATAAGCAGCAAAAGCCAGAAGTGGGTCTGAGGCTCAAGTGGTAGAGTGCTAGTCTACAGCTGAAGAGTTGAGGGACAGCACCCGGGCCCAGATGTTCAGGCCCCATGATCGACAAAAAAAAAAAAAAGAGGAAGCTGCTAAGAAGTCCCTTATATAACAGTGAAAACAATATGCATCCCTACAGAGGAATAAATCTCCACATAAGAACATGAGAAATATGAAAAAAAAGTTAAGATTTTTATTCTGTAATGGAATCAAAAGACATTCAACTGTATAAAATGCCATACAGGGATGGAGTGTAGCTCAGTGTAAGCAAAATGCTTACTTAGCAAGTGCAATGTGCTAGTGTTCAATCCCCAGTACCAAAAGAGAAAAGACAAATACAGTAAAAATTAATGCCAAAGAATTCAAATGGTTATATCATAAAATGATCAATGAATTTAGTGAGAAAAAAAGAATTAAAATGCTGATTGAGTTAAGTGAGACAATACAGAATATAAACAGTAATTCAAAGAAATATAGATTCTAAAAAAATAATCAGAAATCTTGGAAATGAAATGCTTAAAAACTCAAACATCTCAGGTGAAAGGCTTACTAACAGACTAGATCAAGTAGAAGAAAGAATATTAGGGTTGAAACCACAAAGATGCAAGTACAAGTGGCACATGCTTGTAAGTCTAGGTACTTAGGAGGCTGAGACATGGAGGATTGTGGTTCAAGGTTCAAAAACAGTCAGGGCTGTTTTAAGAGACTCCATATCTAAAAACCTGTAAAACGCTGGACAGAAGGCATGCTCAAGTGGAAAAGCACCAGCTGTGAACATAATAAAAACTGAAAGTTTTAGACCCTGATTTCAAGACTCTGTACTGGAACAAACAAACAAACAAACAAAAAAAAACAAAGGTTAAAAAAAATTAGAAATAGGGCATACAAACCTTTGAATACTTGGTATAGACAAAGAAGCAGAGGACCAAGCTAAATGTAAAGGAAATCTATTAAAGGAAACAATACCAGATAATCCATAAAATCTTGTAAAAAGATATGGACACCCAAATATTGAGGCATTTAGAACACTAAATAGACCTTAAGAGGACCATAAAAGGATCCTTCCTCCTCATATTACAGTAAACTATTAAAAGTACAGTGCAGAGAAAGAATATTGGAAACTGCAAGAAGACTCTGAGTCATTTATAAAGACAAACAGATTAGAATAACAACAGATTTTTTTTCAGTGTAAAGTCTACAGCCTAGGAGAACATGAGGGATTTATTTAAACTCCTGAAAGAAAATAACTACCAACCTAGATTGATGTTTCCAGCAAAGTTATTCTTCAGAATTGAAAGATAAATAAAGACCTTCCAAGTTAAGCATAAACTTATGAGCACTAGACCAGTATTTCAGATATACCTAAAGAAAATCTTACATGTAGAACAGGTAGCAAAACAAATATAATCATGAGAACACAGGAAAGAAGGAATCTCACTAGAAATGTAGACAAGCAAATGAAATTAAGAAAGAACCAAACAAAACTCAGTAAACCATCAAAACTCAAAGACAAACACAAAGAGGAACAAACAGATTATTCAAAACAAATAGAAGCAAACAACAAAATGACAAAAAACCTTTCAATAATAACCTTTGAATGTAAATAGTTTTAACTTTAGAATTAACAGAGACAGGAGACTGGTTGGTTGGATTAGAGAAGACTTAATAATTTGCTGCCTGATACTCACTTTCCCCACCAAATACAGATACTGGCTGAAAAGACTGAAAACAATATTTAAGTAAATGGAATCTGACAGCAAGAAAAAGTAGCTATACTTATATCTGACAAAACATTTCAAGCTAAAATTGGTATGAAGAGACAAAGAAGGTTACCTCATGTTGACAAGGGGAACAAACCACAAAGATGTAATGCTTGTAAATATAATTCACTGAACATTGGAGCATCCAATTTTACAGAACAAATATTATAGAACCTAAAGGGGAAGCTAGACCCAAATATAATAATAGTGGATTGGATTATACTTTTACTAATAGACAATCTAAATTTGCCTCCAAATCAGCAAACATCTAATTTAATTATAGATCAAATGTACTTATCGACATCTATATAATATTTTACCCAACATTGGCACATTGTTTTCATCAGCACACTGACCCTTGTCCAAAATGGATACTTTTGGCCACAAAGGAAGTTTCAACAAATATCACAAAACAGACAGTTTGTTGCATCTTCTTAGAATATAATAAAACTAGAATTCAGTAACAAAAGAAACTATGCAAACATATGGAAATTGAAAATAATTTTTTTTAATATAAAGTGTGTCATCAAAGAAACTGGAAACACAACACAGCAGAACCTGTGGGACACAGGGAAAGAAGTTGTAAAGATGGAAGTTTATAGCTATGGGAACTTACATGAAAGCAGTTAAAAAACAAAACCAGAGAGATTCCAAATAACTTAAAAATGCATCTCAAGATCTTAGCAAAACAAGAACAAACCAAACTTTCAATTAGTAAAAGGAAAGGAGCAATAGTGGTTAGGGAAGGAATAAATAGAAACAAAAAGAACAACACAAAAAATTAATAAAACAAGGAATTGGTTCCTTGGAAAGGTAAAGAAAATTGACAAACCCTCAGCT